AGAAATAAACTAAAAATAGGTTAAAGACTTAAATTTCAAAACTACTAAAAGGAAACACAGGAGAAAAGTTGTATACCATTCAATGGCCTAGACTAAGAGTGTTTGGCTATGACCATGTTATGGTTTGGACCTAGAGTGCCCACCAAAGTCTCGTGTGTTGGAAGGTTTGGTCTTCAGCTTGCAGCACTATTGGGAGGTAGTGGAAATGTTTAGGAGTTGAGGCACAGTTGTTGGAAGTTACATTATTGAAGGTGTGCCCTTGAGGGGGACATTGGGCATTGGGATCCCAGCCCCTCCCCCTACTTTGGTTCCCAGTTACCATGAGATGAACAGTCTCCTATGTCACATGCTTCTGCTATGATATACTGTGCTGTCACAAGCTCATAGAAAGGTGGCCAAGTGACCATGGACTGAAACCTCTGAAAGCAGAGCCCAAATATTCCTTTCCTCATTTTAAGTTGATTTTCTCAGGTATTTTGTTACAGAGACAGAAAGCTAAACAAAGAACCAAAGCAGAGGCAACAAAAAGTAGAAAAACAAATGTGGTATTCAACCTACCCCAAAAAGGACTCAATGGACAGGGTCAAGAGACAATGCATGAAATGGGGGAAAATACTGTAAACCATGTATCTTGACATGGAGTTCACATTCAAAATAAACAAGGAACTCAATTAAATGGCAAGAAAATAAATAACCTGGTTAAAAAATGGACAAAAGACCTGAATAGACATTTCTCAAAAGAACACATATAAATGGCTAACAGGTACATGAAAAAACACTCAACATCACTAATCATGAGGGAAATGCAAATCAGTGAGATATTATCTTAAAATGAGATATTACCTCACACCTGGCAGCATGACTATTTTCAAGGGGATGAAAGATAATGAGAGCTGGCCAGGATGTGGAAGAAAAGCACCTGTGTACTGCTGTTGGTAAGAAGGCAAATTAGCACAGTCATTATGGAAAACAGTATGGAGGTTCCCCAAAATATAAAAAATAGAACTACCAGATGATCCAGCAACTGGGTATAAAACCAATGGAAATGAAATCAGTATATCAAAGAGACATCTGCACCCCCATGTTCATTGCAACATTATTCACAATACTCAAGACATGGAATTAACCCAGTGTTGATCACTGGATGAGTAGATAAAAAAATAGTGGAATATATACACACTGAACACTGTTAGCCTTAAAACAGAAGGAAATCTTATCTTGTGACAAAATGAATGAACCTGGAAGACATTATGCTAAGTGAAATAAGCCAGGCACAGAAAGACAAATAACACATGAGCTCACTTATATGTGGAATATAAAAAAATTGAACTCACAGAAGTAGGGAAGAGAGTGTTGGTTATCAGGAAATGGGTGGGGGTGAGGAGTTGGAGAGACTGATCATAGGACACAGATTTCAGTTAAATAAGAGAAATAAGTTCAAGAGATCTATATTGCAACAGTGTGATGACAGTTTGCATCAATGCTCTGTACTTTCTTTGAAAGTCCCTAAGAGAGTAAATTTTAAGTGTTCTCACCATAAAAAATCATAAGCATGTGAAATAATGCATACATAAATTAGCTAGCTGAGCAATTCCATAATGTATACAAACTTCAAAACATGTTGTATACAATAAATATGTACATATTTTTCAATTAAAATTAATTTTAAAAAGACAAGTAGGGAAAAAAGAAAATAGATTCCTCTTTAATCCTTAAAGAGTATGTTCCAAAACCCCCAGTAGTTGCCTAAAACCTCAGATTAATACTGAAATATACAGGTGGAACATGAAACCGATATGATGTACAGTTTCAGAGTTTGGAGAGTTTTGAATTTTTTAGATTAGGGATGTTTGACTGGTAAAATCTGGGTAAACATTCCAAAATCCAAAAAAATTAAAAATTAGAAACACATTTCTGGACCCAAGCATTTTGATAAATGTCAGTAAGTCTATATATACTAAGTAAGTTTAATTTATAATTTATAAATTAGGCACAGTAAGAGATTTACAATGATAATTAATAATAAAAATACATTTTATAAGAATTTTGGATTTTGGAATTGTAGAAAATAAACTGGACTTTATTAAACTATTATTTAAATTATCACTATAATCATGTGCCTACAGAGGGTAAGGTTCTGGGTAAACTAGTAGTTGTTCACACATATAGAACACCTAAGTGAATAAAGGGTAGGATGAGGCTAAGTGCATTGTAGAACTTTGAGAATGAAAAGAGCTCAGTTTTAACTTCTAAGCTCAATTAATTACCCTAAAAGAAATCTTCATCTCTGCCTACAATGCTGAGATTTTCAATAATAAGACCCAAAGTCTAATCATGTGGGTAGCTGAATTATATATAATACAAAACCAAATTCCCAAGCTTGCAAGGTATCCCTTCCTTTGAAAATGGGGTGGGGCTTGTATAGAGCTCCTGTGAAGCTGGGGCCTTGGATCTCTGCATTCTGTCATGCCTCCTTTGCCAGGGGCAGGAGCACTTCCACCCTGTTTGGGAAGGTAAGTCTGCTTTTTGTGAAGTTTGTAAAGTCAGGGAATTGCTTTGCACACAAAAGGTGACTCTCATTGTTTCTAAACTTGTAACCAGACAGGAGTCCACTTTGATGTAAGAGAATGAGGGATAAGACATGACCTGTTAGGAGACAGAATTTAACAGAATAATTACATGATTCTTTCAATTTTGTGTAGACAGAAATCTGGAGAATGGATATGAGAATGGATTCTCAGGGCTGGATTACAGTGCAAGAAATAAAATTTTGATTAGTCCATAACAATATGGGCTCACACTGAATATCAATTTTCTAGATTTAATGTGTTAGCTTCAGTGTACTGGTTAGTCTAGTTGGTTGAATAAAATCTGAACTCAAAGGTAGATGATGCTAAAACATCAGAATTTCCGTTATTATATCGTAGAACAGAATCCCTTCTCTTGGCATGTCTGACATTTGGGGTGGCAAAAGTCTTTGTTGCAGGAGGCTGTCCTATGCACTGTAGGATATTTAGCACCATCTCTGCCTTGAATTTGTAGCAATCCTCGAATGTGTTCAGATAGTGTTGAGAGAAATATTCAGGGTAATGGGAAGGGGAAGGCAACATTGTCTCTATTTGGAATAAAAGAAGTTAGCAAAGACTTGGGGAAACTGTAAGATTAAGTGGGTTTTTAAATGTAAAACCAGCTCATCCATCCTTCAATTCTGTCCCTTAGGAGAATCCAGAGGACATTCCCTTCACCAAGTCTGTGACTCAGTATCCCTACAGAGCTCTGTGGCAGCTATTCTTTGTGGCACAGAAATGACAGTGGGAACTGCTGTCATGGAATTGGGCTTCCAGAATTCAATGGAAATGCTAAGATTCTTAATGGCAAGAGCTACCCAGAGTCGTCATTGAAAACGATGGGGGCATGGTAACTAGAAGGAACAGTGGAGCTGGAGCAGTAATCAGAAGAGCCTGATCTACAGAGATCTTTGGGGTTTGTATATTCACCTAATAATTTGTCTACCAATTATTTTGTAATTTCTATATATACAACTCTATTATATGCTAAGGATGCCTGATTTCTTTTTGCCCTTGTCAACCTTTCATTTCTTTGTCTTTTTTAAAAATATTTTTTTAGTTGTGGATGAACACAATGCCTTTTATTTTTATGTGGTACTGAGGATTGAACCTAGTGCCCCATACGTGCCAGAAGTGCTGTATCACTGAGCTCCACCCCAGCCCCCTCATTTCTTTTTCTTACTGCCATGTACTGATTTGGTTTCTGAGACAAAGATGAACAGAAATGCTATTAGTGAACTTGTCTTCTTCTTAATCTTAAAAAAAATGTTATTAATGTTTTTTTGTCATTAAGAATAACTTTGCTATAGAACATGTACCTTTATAAAATTAGGAAAATTCTATTCCTAGTTTCTAGGATTTTGAAAACAATATTTGATAAATACCAACCCATTATTGCTTATTCCATTTCTGAAAGGACTTTACAGAGTTGGTTTCTTTCTTTTCTTTTCTATTTTATTTTGATTCTTATTTCTCTAGATTTTTTTTTTTTTCCAGTCTCTTTCAGTGGAACATTCATCTCCCTAAAGTTTAAGTTTTGGAAACTAGTCCTCAACAACTTCATTCTCTACCTATTACTTTTTTCCAACATGTTCTCATTCCATGACTTTAGAAATCATGTATATATACATGATTCCCACACATTTATAGCTCCTGTTGCAATCTCTTTTCTGAATACTAAAGTTAAATACAATTGACTAGTCTTTCCAGCAGCTCTTACTTATCATGGCCCAGAGTAAACTTTTTTTTTAAAATCTCCAGCTCTTTAAAGCCTAGTACTAATTGCCACCATTTTATACTTGGACTATTACAGTGTGGGTCTCATTTTCCCTTCTTCTTACCCTGGACCCTTTACATTCTTTGTTTTCTTAAAATGTACTTTCTTTTCAGAGCAATTTCAGGTTAACTGAAGTTGATTCTTCGTACAGCAAATTCATCTGTTGAATATAATTATGCCAGATCACATCACTTCAATCAAAGCCTTCCAATTGCATTCCCACTCAAAGTTCTTGAGCTTCCCATTTGTTTCAGCACAGAAATCTCAAGTTCTTTCTGAAAAAGGGCTGGAAAATTTTTCTTAAAGGGCCAGAGAGCAAGCATTTTAGGCTTTGTAGATCAAATGGATTCTGTTGCAACTACTGAATATCACAAATGCTACACCTATATGCAAATAGCAGTAAGATCCTAAACTACCATGACCAACAAAAATCATTGTATTTTGTAAAATATACATGAAATTTACAAAATAAAACTATTTTAATTTATAATGCTTAATATTTTTAGTAGTTCAATAAGTAATTTGCTGATTAAGAAATGAGTACAAGGTCCAGAATTATACATTTTTACAAAAAGATTATGTCAAGAACATTAAACCATAGTTTTAAATAATTTCTTCTGTAAAATGTGTCAAACAATTATTAATAGAGAACTTACTTTAGATTGCTGATTCTAATTTCTGCACTTTCAGTAAGTTTTTTTGTTTCTTCTTTCCACCGATCAGCTGCCTTCTGTTGAGTAGCTAAGAGATGCCTCAGTTCAATAGTGGAATTTCGATTACTATCTTCCATTTCTCTCAACTGAACTTCAAAACCATGTTCCTTTATTAACAACTCATGTTCCATTGTACTGATCTAAGGAATAAAGTGAACATAGTAACTTTTCTTCAAATCCTAAAAATGTCAGTAGGAAAAAAGTATATTATGTATCCTAAAACCATTTTCTTTAACTTACTCTTACTTTTGATGCCAGAATTCATAGAAAATGTTCATGTTTTTAGTAACTTAGAGCTAGGTTTTTAATGAAACAATTCTGGATTTATATATTGATTTTAAGATTATCTTTCAAAGAGCTTTGTAAAGTAGAAGAAAAGTATATACTGGAATTCCTTTACTATTTCAGTTGTAGTATAAATAATGTATTTTTAAAAGAAAATATAAATAATGGTCTTCAGAATCTCATGTGAAAATGTCTTAAATATATATATTTAATTTTTTTAGACATTGTTGGATCTTTATTTGATTCATTTATTTATATGCAGTGCTGAGAATCGAACCCATTGCTTCACATATGGTAGGCAAGTGCTCGACCACTGAACCACAACCCAGCCCCTTAATTATATTCTATGAATTTATGTTATTATAGTAAAAACATCCTAACACAGAATGAAAATACAAGTAAGCGCCCTTTGGATACCCTGGAAGCTTCTTCAAGAGGTTCAGAGAGAGGTAAGTTCTAATGGCTCCAAGGCATCATATAGGATGAACTGCCTTTTCTCATCTGCACCTACAATGCAACTATGTGTCCTGTCCTTGAGGCAGCTGAGAAAGTGGTTACTGGGATAGTTTCTTATATTCTGTGGTTCAAAAGAAAGACCCAGGTGGGGAAAAGCTGGGAGGTGACCCGACTCCTTTGGTGGAGTCTCAGGCCATCTTTATCTTGCTACCTGAAGAAATAGGGCAAAGAAACCTGTCTTGTGATATTTTAAGGTAATGTATTTAAAAGTGGCCACAGATGGCTTGGCTTCTAGTAATTCATTTAATATAACTATTTTCAAACTGAAGATACAATGAACAACTCAACTTTACCAATTCAAAAACAACAAAGAAAAACCAAACAACAAAAATATCCATGGCTCATGTGGGAAAGCTTCAAACTTCCTATCCTTAGCACCTCTGATAAATGTAACATACTTTCTGTAACTCTTAAATATGTTTCTCAAGTAGCATACAAGTAGAATTTAAGATTATATCAGTTTGGACACTGGAAAACCACCTTGCACTTATCAATTGGCGTCCTGTTCCTGCCACGCAGTATTCCTGAGGCTCCTCTTCACCTACTGCTGTCTTAATAACTTCCAAATGACTTTATTCTGCAAATTTAGATTTGAACACACTTTTCTTTCCTTCTCTGCCTTAATCTCCACTTCTTTTGGTTCCCTATGATTCTAACATCTTACTTGGAAAAAAACCTCCCAGTTTCTGTCAGTGTCTGCCTACCACACGTATTAAAAACTGATTTACACATCTACATGCAGCTTTAGGACTTTGCCTGCTTAGCCGACTTCCTCTTGTCCCTTGGAAGTTCTATAGTGCAACAATCCTTGCTCTAAGGTCCGTCTGATAACTTGGCCTCTGCCTACGTTTCCAAGCTTGTGTGTCGCCACTATTCCCTTCCCCCTGCCTCTACCACAATGTGTTCTCACTCTGGGTCTTTCTCACATCTTGTTCCCTTTGCCTGGAATAATCATTCCCTTCCACCTACCTTTGTTATAAGGAAAACACAGGGCCCTACGCTGGGAAAGAAAGAGGGGCTGGTAATTTGTAATTTTATGTTTAAAGTGTGCCCATCTCCATGCAGATTATAAGCTTAAGGATGGGTACCATATTTGCTTTGTTTACCATTGTATCTTTAGCACCTGGAACACAGGTTGTCAAAAAACATTTGCAAATTAAATGAAAGATGACTCTTTGGTGTCAAACTTCAGTCTTAAAACAAACCCCAGAGCCTTTAATCAGAGCAATTCCAACTGCTCAAGTGGGAGGTCTGTGTGATGTTGAAAGGCCAATGGCCACAACTGAATCTCTTTCTGTAAAAAATTTATTTTTTATTAAGTTCAGAATGTTGGGTTGGAAAAAGGGATTTAATGGTCTTCTACCTGTACTACAACTTACTTCTGCAGACAAATACCATGCAAACCAATAATAGGTTTGCTAAAAACTATTTCATTTCTTAATTTTAGATACTTATGAGGGGTATTCAGACCACAAAGAAACTGAGAACCTTTACAGAAAAAAGGGAAGAACTGGAAAAGGGGAGAGTTGGAGCTGAAAGGAATGCAGTGGCTCTAAAATCAAATGAAAATGTCATAATAAATTGTTAAGGTTTTCATCTAACTGACCTCCCAATATCTCCCTGTCTTTACCCCGTCAGCTCCTTTCAGTGTATCCACTAAATACTATACTCTCTTCCAAAGGGAAACAAAGAAGCAAAGAGTAGCACTAGATTTCTATGTTGTTAAAGAAATAATCAGCTGCAAAGGAGCTGAGAGCCCTCCTCCTCCATAAATAGAATTGTAGCTACCTATTTTGGTTCCATCAAAGTATGGTGACCTTTGATTTTTTTTAAATTATGGAAAAAGTTTAGTATGGGAACTTTCAGCACACATAAAGTGGATTACAGTGAATTCCTGTATGTCCCTCATCCAGCTTCTATAACCACATCTATTAAGCTCATAGTCACCTTTGTGTTTTCTATATTCCTACTCACTTTCTTCTGCTAATATTTATCTTTCTTTCCCTTACAATGAAGCAATGTAATTTATTTGTTTGTTTTGTATGCATTTGAAGGACTATTTTCCACTTTCACTCTCTTCATGGTATCTTTGATGATTAAAAATCTTAATAAATTATGAAATACAATTAATTTGTCATTTCATTACAATTAGTGCTATTTGTGTTCTATTTCAGAAATATCTTCCTACACAAGGAATGAAGATTTTCTCCTAGAATTCCATGGTTTTATGTTTTAAACCTGGTGATTATTAAATCTGAGTTTGGTTTTGTACCCTATTTTACGCCATTGATCGGTTTGATTTTTTTCAAACTTTATTCTGATGTCAATAACACTATCTTAATTACTATAGTTTTATCTCAAGTATGGTTCCTCTCCTTGATTTTCAAAGACTTCCCACAGCCTAAAGCATAAAGTACAAACTTCTTTGTATGATATCATAGTCCATGTTGTTATAAATATCTGGTGTTCTTAATATTTACAATAGGAGGCATTAAATATATGTTGACACTAATTAGGCTGGAACCTGACTTCTTATGGGTTCTTGCAGCAACAACAAAGAAAAACACTAATTTATCACTTTACATCCTTACTATAAAACTGTAAGAGGTAGAGCTTTATAATAAAGAGTCAGTGCCACTTATTGTAAGAGTTTGTGGAATGGAGAAAGGTCAGTGAGATTCCAACGGGGATTCTGACTTTGTTTCTGGAAACTCCCTTTAACCAGGTTATCATGCTCCTGTTACCAAAGTGTGTCAGCAGAAAGTAAAGGGGAGAGAAAACAAAAGAAAGGCTTTTTTTTGTTGTTGTTGTTTTTATTTTATTTTTTCAAGATGAGACTTTTGCTCCTTGCCTTCTTCCTGTCGTGGAGTTTTGGGACTCACTGAGTGGTTTTCTCAGAGCACACTGATATAACATCCTCTTACAGTTAGTTTTAGAAAAGTTCAATTCTTGAGAGGCTATAAGAGAGGGAGAAGGAAGGAGGGCATTCTATAAAGTTATCTAATCTATAGTTTTGCTAGTGTTGCTTAAATTGCTTTGGCAAGAATATCAGTGTATTTCACGGTTGGAAAAGAATTGTATGTGTGTGTAGATAGCGAAGGCAATCATTCTCAAGTGTGCTTGCCAAGTTCTATAATACTGCAATGACTGGTTGACACTCTGAATTATGATTTAGTGCTATCTGATCAGAAGTAAAAAAAAAAAGGGGGGGGCTTAAAATGATGTTTTACTTGGTTTTTCTCAATATTCTCTAACTTTGATTTTCCCAAGAACACATTTAATTCTAAGTAGTCTTTAAAATACCTTTAATTTGGCTTTTTTTTCAGCCTCTAGAGCAATCTTTCTTAAATTCTCAGTCTCCTTCAGTAACTCTTCATTTTCTTGCTGAAGTTTCAGCCTTTGTTCACTGACGAAGCCACAATTCTCCCTCTCAGCCTCCAATATATTTTGAAGTTTCTGAATCATTTCATGGGAACGTGATATCTCTTCTGAGGAGCTGATTTTTAAAAAAGGCAAAAAGAACTCTTAACTCTTAATGACCAATAGTAGAAATCAAAATGTCTACCCACCTTTTCTAGTACAGACTTCTGTTTCCTTTATTCAGAGCCATTTTTTTAACTTTATATTTATGTGGTTTCAAAATGCTATGTAATACATTTAACAATGAAGGCAAATATATTTAACAATCTTAACTAAGAACAGACAAACAACTGTTACCACTCATCTGGAAAATCGATGTGAAACTTATTTCAACTTTTTATTAACACTGAGAATCATTGTATAAGGACTTTTCAAGGAACAAACTGAAGACAATAATAACATAATCATAATCAAAACTTTGCTTTCTCAGTAAACTCCACGGGAAAATATAACAGTTGACTACACTATGAGATTATGATAAAATCTATTTTCATATTTTCTTGTTTCATGTCTTAGAAATGGTTTTACAAATTCTAGTTGTGTAAACTTGTTTTACCATAGGTATCAGGTTGTGTTTCTTGAACTTTCTCAGTCATGGATTATTAGGTGAGCTAAACTCTCAACATGTATGATTCAATATGTACTTCAATAAATACACTTCTAATTTTTATTCCTATTTTCTAAAATTTTCATCTTTTCCATCCCACCACTCTGAACATTCCTGGTCAACAGGTATCAGAGTAAACACCTATCAATATCAAACAATATCACTTCTATATGTATATTGTAAAGGCTTAAGTTGAGGCAGACATGGTTAGTTATTTTCTGACCTTTACTGCCTCCCTGCTGTATCTTTGCTTCCCCAGTTCCTCCCACATTCTTGTATGCTCTGATTTCTATATTAAATCCTTGATTCCACTAAACATGCTGCTCTTTTTCTTCTGTTTAAAGGTTGGTTGACAGAGTTGCTAATGAAAGGAGGTATCCAAGCAGTGATAATAAAAGAATGCTAATATTAGAAAAATGCTAAGATCAGAAACAACCACACGTTTCTGTGCCCTCTGTTAAAAGTCAAAAAGCCCACAATGGAACAGAAAAACCAAGTGAATGGCAGCACATATATGTCTTGAGTAGAGGAAACGTTACAGTTCAGAGAACTGTTTTTTTTTTTTTTTTAACTCTTAATAAGTCTCC